GGGGCTCATCAGGTAGACGCAGTCCCCGAGTTTCCGTCAATCTTCTGTTCTACTTGAAGCCAAATTGCACGAAGTACACTTATCTGCAAACTAACTTGGTTTTGCGAGAGAATTACTTAGAATCCAGCAGAATCTCTCGTTTGTGATGTTTCCAGATGTATTTTACATTCAACAAAAGCTGAACAAGATCAGTAAGGAGTACTTTATTGATCAGACAAGCCAAGGAAGACATTGATCACAAAATCCTGTGGAAATTATGATAAGTGTGCAGTAAAAAGGTCAGTTGAATTAAACTTAAATTTTTTACGGGTTGCGGAATATGCGAAAGAAACGAACATTTCGAACATTTGGGGCCAGTAGTAAACCTATTTATAGCGGAGGGTCAAGTACGGCCAGAATATTACAAAAAACGCGAACAAGTGTTACAGAGTTGTCGACAGTTTCGTCAGGCTCAGACATGAAACTCACATCTTGCGGTTTTGTGAGAGTATGGATTCTCTATCAAAACCCTTCAAAATTCTTACTGTCCCAGATGGGGTGACTGATTCTCATAAAGGAGACTACTCACAAGGTTGCTGAAAACTCTGTGACTTCCCACGACCGGTTTCGCTGTTCCACTTTGGGGTCATCAGGTAGGCGCAGTCCCCGAGTTTCCGTCAAACTTATGTTCTACTTGAGCCCAAATTGGACTGTTTTCGAGAAATACACTCATTTGCAAATCACTTTGGTTTTCACGAGAGGCTCAACCGCTTCACTCGTTTATGATATTCCACGACTGAATGTGCTGCACACAAGCTGCCTAATGATTCAGTTGGCACGATATTCGAAATACCGCAGTATATTTTCATAAAGGAAACTAATCACAAGGCCTATCAACCGGTAAACAAAACAGCCTAGGAACGACGACTAAAATCTACCTTAATCAACAAAAATGGAGAGCAAAAGTTGAGGGTCGGTTGTAGGAAGGGAACTAGAGACCAGGTTGGACATGGCACTTTAGGGACCAGAGGGATGAGTTGTAGCAGACTGCAAATCCACTGTCTCTCTGTCCTCCATACACCGGTTCGATAGGTCGGAATTGGGCGGGCACTGCGATAATCCTCACTGGGAAGTCTTGTCGTGCGGCCAAGAAAACTTGCTCCCAAAAACTCATGAGCGCAGCAGCAGGATCTTTTTGAAGAAACAAACTAACACATTAGCTTCTGAAAAGAAAGTTGGAACGGTCTATACACAAAGTTCTGTTCTCTGACTCAGTGAAAAAAAACTTTTGTCTGAAGGCATTCCCAGTTGAAATGCCTCGAAGACAGACTTGTGATACTTTTTTCATTAATAGTTGCATCGGTGTTACCTGTTGGTGATAATGATGACTCATTTGACGTGCTAGAGAGGTTGAGTGGCACGGCCAATAGCCTGAAGACCAGTGCATTCCGCGTTGAGTCGAAACACTCGATGACAGTTCCCAAAGCATTCCAACCTAACTATCTAGTGCACTGAAGACAAAAGAACAGTGAACAATCACAGTCTGTTCACATCTCATTGCCCTACACATCCACGCACTGCTCAACAAGCTCAGTGCTTTGAACGACCGTTTAAATGCCTTTAATTTGTGTGCACTGAAATTGATATAAGTAGTTAAAAGGTTGGATAAAATTTTGCATCTCGCCCCCACCGCTTTTGCCACACGAAACGAAATTGTATTCTGTCAGGTTGGCAGCGTCCCAGTGGCCACTGGTTACTTTCATTGAAATGATGCACCTAAGACAACATTGGAGGTTTCTGTGACAAAACCAGCGATTGCTTGACACAGAGTGCCTTGCCAGGGATGCATATGTTGACGTTGGTCAACCACTCGTGTATCTTTAGTGAGGCGAATCAAGCGTCAGTATACGAAGGTGTGCATGGTGCCGGTGAAAACGAATCCCGACAAGGTCATCGGGGCATTTGAAAGCGTGGCTGGATGTAGTAAGCCTTTATGGGCTGTTACTCCACTTGCTTCCCGAAGCTGAGAGATAAAGTTTAAGCGCACGAAGTGAACCTATGACCGCCTAAGATTGTTCTCTCTTCCAGGAGATCCTGTCATTAGTTGGTTAGCTCTAGACTTTGTCAAACTTGCTTCAGGTAGCTCTACTGGTTCCAATGTCGGTGGAAAGGAAATCAAACGAGCGTGAGGCTACATTTTCCATCGAAATGGAAACGCTATGTTTGGATAGCTCCATTTTTGTTTTCAAGACCGATAACCATCTTCCGGAAGCCACATTTATGGGTTTTTACAAGTGCACAGCACAGAACTTCTCAGAGAATTTCTCTCTGCTGTCATGAAGCTGAGCACAGAACACAAAAGAGATGTCGTGAAACAATATTTTTTGAATTTCCAGTCAGCTGATGAATCTACAGAACCAGTTAGCTGGCTAACACCACTGATGTGGATCGATGGAACTTACCAGAAAGGATCGCGGTTGAAGCGGATGACGACGTGGTTGATAATGGCCATAATACAAATCAGAAGGTATATGCACTAATAACAGTGTTTAGTATAGTTGACAATGGTGAGATGCCAGACGTATGACATGAATACAATGCGAAATGGGAGCAAGTCAAAAGAGGAACTTATCGTCTGTGAGAGCTCCTTGGTGAAAGTCTGGACGGCGGGAACGTGTTTTCTCTACAGTATAGCTGCTACAAGTGTTCCATAGTTGTCCGTGGACTTGTGGTGAGTGGTTGACTTCCTGCTCCTTGCGAGCGCGCGAGTGTGTGCGTTGTAGGCCTATTTATTGTGTGCAGTGTGAAGAGAGGGGTGTCCTTTCGTGTTTGATGCTTGCACGAACATGAATACAACTTGACCTGATGTGGTTGAATTTCGTAAGCCAGACGTGTGATGCAAGTGGTAGCCGTGTAGACAAAAATGGATGAGAAGTTGCAGTGTACATGTTGAGGTTGCTGAGGTTGCTAGTGGGACAGGAATAGCGACAGGAATTGTCACGTGGTTTGAGTGGTTTGTGACGCGTGATCTGATGAGTGACCTCTACAGAGCACAAACGTCTTGTTCTACAGAAACTGTCCGATAGTGATAAAAAAACCCGCTGTTCTGCATCGAATTCGCTTTTAACCGATATGAGAGCAGTGCAACCAGGCGGGACCAGGCTACCTACAGGTTTGTTCGCTGTTTACTATCTATCTGGCTTCGAATCGAACGAGTCGCTGGCCTCAAAGTTGATGCAATGTCCATTCGATCAGCTGATCCGCTAATTAGGACAGGAAATGACTTTTGTACGGCGACTTCAAATGTGCCGCGAGCAGAAATTCAGATGATTATGCATTTACCACCAATTTAGTTTGCAAACGAGTCCAGTACATGCGCTCCTTCCTTGCTGCGGATTCGAAGAGCTTTGCTGACGCAAATGTGTTACATTTGGGTACAAGACTTGCCATTGAAAAGAGCTGAACTAGTCACACGTAACCGTCAGCTTTTTGTACATTGAAGGCTATCGGAATTAAGTTCACCTGATGAATCGCGCGGGAATTATCGTCAATCGAGTTTAAATCGACTTCTCTGCTTGATTGCATAAATGGAAGACCATTGCTCGCCAAATTCAGCCAAAAATCTAAGCATAAACTGACTGACTTGAACACCCGAAGCCAACATCTTAAACGACAGGGACACCAAAGTCTAGCTCGGTTACACCGTTACCACCATCTTCGTTCTCAAGTGAATGTTTCGCTGTACAAGAAGATGGAGTTTTTTCTTACGCTCATGAAAGTCAATGTGCCACAACTGTAGGAAACTGGTGGCAAAATGTACAAAGTGCTGTCATACACTCCAGGTCACACTTTGGTGTTCTGTGCCTACAAAGACTCTGACAGATCCTAGGTGACCTGCGATGTGAGCGGGTCAAAAGACAGCCTGTCAGAACACACACAGAAAGTAGGCTAATACGAGTGAAAGGAAGGAGGCTCTCGCCGCGAAATTACTTATTAGATAATGCCAACTGACCAGTTACAGACTATTGAACAGGAAAGCAAAACTCTCATATGCATCTTCATTAAAAAAACTGAACATCCATCTTCTCTTGAACGCGTCTTCCTGAAATTTCCTGGATATTCACTGAGTGTTGCTCAAGTCCAAGCAAATGCTACAAAGCAACTCCGCAAATTCCGCATTAGATCTCTCTTTTCAAGCGACTTTACAAGAAAACATACTACTCACATGCCTCCCCCACCAGTAGTATCACCGTTACACGAGTATTTGCCACACTGATTACTGTGTACAACAGTTCATCGGGAGGCAATCTCCCAACCATGAAGACAACCATTTTCGGGAAACTAAAATTTATGCCTTCAAATTGACAATAATCTCCCAGAAAACAAAAGAAATGGCACTCAATGGACCCTTGCCTATGAATATGCAATGCTTTTAATGTACGCTCACGAAGGCTGGATTTTTTAATTGGAGTTATGAAAGTGTTCCGTTCATAACCCCTCGGACAGACATAAGATGAAGTAAGGTTAGACATACAGCTGGCTCTTGCAAGTTGTTCCGAAGAACACAGCTAACATCCCGCTGTGGTTGACATCCAGCTGGTTCTTAAGGCCCGATCTGTAACCCATGCAAAAGAAGCCAGCTGTTGATATGACAGTTGAATTGGCGAGTAGATGGCGCGTTTAAATGAGTGCTGTATGTACTCACTCCCTGGAGAGTGTGCATTTGGAAATGCGTTTACCAAACACAATATCGCTTGGCTTGAAATATGAACGGAAACTGCGCTTCTCGTACTGCACCCACAATGCATGTGTTTGTGGGGGGTAGCGTGACATTCTGCTGGCATTGTATGGCCCAGATACATTGTTCAGCAACTGAAGTCCGACAAACCACTTATTTGAACCATTTTTGGCATGAACGAAGGATTCGACGGAACTTACAACGACAAGGAGAAGACCCAATAACCCAGAGTTGTTCCAGCAAAACCGTACAAGACTACATCATGTCCAACAATAAACGGACTAATCGATTGGAAGGTCACGTTTGGATGTGAGGATCGTGGCTGGTCGGTAGACATGGGCACTGTGAAGGATACTTTTCAGCCAATGACACAACCGGGCAACCAACCTACATGCAAAAAACCAGCTTTTCTAGGAACCGTTTTTCATCACTGTCAGATATTTGTAAAATATCTTGATGATTGGCCAAGCGTTCTTTTGAAAAGGCCACCCGAACTCCTGTGGAAGGCCAGCCCCATTTTGGACTAAATCTAAGTCAGACATCGAAGAGTTCTGATCATAAACCACCATTGAAGGCATATTTAGAACAATTCAGGCGCAGATGTAATTCAGATGACCAAATTCTAACCGATCCTAAACAGAACAAATAGAATTTCGTCTATGAGGTGATGGCATTCCCTGGTAAATCACATTCCTACAGTAAATTTGAACATTACAAGGGACAGCAAGGACTACTACTCACAAGTGCATTTCAGTAGTCGGGAATGAGGAAGCCAGTAACCCTTAATTGAACCCGAAAGTGTTGATGGCTAAGCACAACGTGCATCAACCGTTTCTGCATGCGATTAGACATAGTGCCATTTGACCATAGTTTTCTACATCTGACACCCAAACTTCAGTCTCAGGCGTGCTGCCATTCTATGTGTGATGCGAGATAGCCTGGAAGTGCTCCAGATGAAGGACGATCGAAAAGTGCACTACTATCCCAGATATTGGTTACAATCTAATTCAAATCAAATGAACGTTGAGAACAGCAGCAAGAATGGTCTTCATGGTTTATATGATACCCCTGAGCAAAACTACCCTCCCTTTCTCTAGCACGACATCTCCGAATCGATGAAATCTGTTTGATCTGGTGCGTTTGAATTTGAAATGGTGTGGTGGTGTACCCGGACGATTACTAGCACTATAGAAATTGTCGTCCTCGAATCTGGCTGGAAGTAGATGACCTTTGTGCTAAAATTTTGGCGGGTTTCCTTCATCGAGGACACCGTACCAAAGGCCTAGAACCCATCTGTTCAAAGTTCTCCAGGAAAACATTGTTGGTCGATTGTATATCCAAACGGAGGAGACTGGTGACCATCAGTTTTTACAAACCTCGTATAAGTGACGAGCGGCAATCACTGCAAATTAATTAGACCACCTATTGGTCACATTTAGCACACGTACACTTAGCGCTTCAAGGCTGAACGAAATGTTTGCTGCATCCTGATTGGTCCGACTCTCTTCTACTGTGGCGTCACGTGAGGTCACCACAGAATTGGTACACGGTGGGCAAATGTCGGTTAAAATCCAATCAAAATAATCGGCCTTCTTAAATGACCTTTTTTCGTCAGTTATTTGATTCTGGTTTATCCACTTTAGCGCCTGACCTGACACACAAACAACCGCACTATTTACAAGTGATTTTTGCTCAAAGAAATTAAGAACAAAGAGAGAAATTAAGTTGACGGAAACTCGGGGACTGCGCCTACCAGACGAGCCCCAAGAAGGGTGAAACCGGTCTTGGGCTGTCGAGGAGTTTTCAGCAACCTTACGAAATATATAAGTTGAACTGTCTTTAATTGTGTACGGGCCCAAACCAACCAACCAGGTTGCACGTTTGGAAGTGATCCGGTCGCCAATTTCTCCTTGACATTTGGAGCATTTAAACTTACCAATAGCGATTTTTAGCAGTCTTACTGATCAATAACCAACCCATTTTCAGGAAGGCAGTCGACTGCGAATAGGATGTTGCGTTTTGCTCCGGATCGAACACAATAGGGCGGAAATCGATGAAAGGTTGGGGACTGACATCATTTGTCTGACTACTGGATTATGATGTCTTCACGGAACCCCTCGAGAGCACAGTATCTTTTCATTGAGTCATTCTCACAGCATCGTATTCCACCCAGTTCACATGCCACAAGGCAGTACAATTTAACAAATAGTTACATTGCCAATCAAGATTAGAAATGAGCCTAATTGCGCCAAAAGGCACCTGAACATGGTACTGCTTCTAGGTCATACGTTATCGCGCATGTATTCTACACCGGAGCATTATGTCATGACAGGGCATCGCCAGTTTCCAGGTCATCGACATTCACTTGTGGTTTACAAATCCATCTCCAGGTCTCAGATGCTATCTCAGATCCGAGTTTATGGCTTGGACCTCGTTCCATCCATCACGCTGTCACATAGAATCCAGGTATGATGATTTATCGTTATACGCCACAATGACCCTCGGCTGCAGAGACAGCCTGCGCTCAGTAAAACGTAAGGGGGTGAACGTGGCAGTGCGCTGAAAAAATCGTTGACGAAAAAATCACCATCGAGTGTCAGAATGGCTGACTTTCCATCTTTAAAGCGCTCTGTTTTTTGTTTTTGATGGCAAAAATCTCAATGGCAAACCAGTTTTTCCCAAGGTAATGAATTAACGCCTATATACCGCGTTTTTTCAGGAGATCGGCTTAAAGAAAAATAAAACCGCAAAGTTTTCATAAAGGAAACTACTCATAAGGTTGCTGAAAACTCCTCGATCTTATGAGTAGTTCCTCTCATGAAAATATACTGCGATATCTCGAATATCGTGCCAACTGAATCATAAGCCAGCCTAAAATGAGTGTAATTCTCGAAAACTGCAAAGTATTGATTCTACCTTAATTCCATGGTAATTCCCGCATTCATTTGCTTTCTTTGCCTATAAAATTTTGATTTCCATTTCTTTTGCTCATCTGTGCCTGCCACTCAGCTTGCCCTAAAAGCCGTCTCGTTCGACACTTGTGTATTGGCATGTGTGTCTGTGTGTGAATGTGCACTACTGACCTACTTGTCCACGCGCGTTCGTCTCCCGTTTGCTGAGACTGCCTTGACTTGTTTTCTCATGTGTTCCCCATGATCGCAGCGCCAATGAGAATCACGAAACCGTCGTCCGAAGGGATGACCGCAACTCGCACCACTGAGCCAACTTTCTTTCGCTCGCCGTTGTTTGGTGTGCGGACGTTCACACTGCAATCTGCCATAGGATTTCGAAGCTAATTCTTCCTTTTGATATTCGCGATTGTCGAATCTACGTGTCACTCAAAGTTCCGTGTGGGGAACCTCGACACAAAGTAACATATGAAAGAGTGAACCTCAATTGTGACCTAGTGACAGGTTAGGCATCTTCAGGAGAGGCTTACATCACCCTTTCATCAGGTTTCAATTAATAGGGACGACGAATATCAGTGGAAGGCAACTATTGAACCCGAGATGACCATGGTGGTTAGAACACGAATTCACTGACCGGAAGGTCCGTGGTTCGAACCCAACCTCTGCATTTCGATTACCCCTGCCTAGGACAACTTGGCAGTATCTCAGACCTCGTGCTTCCTTCGGTTCACATAGCAGCTAGGCACCGGAAAGGTTTTACAGCTTAACGATAGGTAGGTAGAATGATAACTAGTGGATGGATGGAAAGGTGCGGTTTTTAGACCTGTAAAAGGACCAACCTAACTAAACATTTTTACGCTGATCAATGAATTTCAGCAAACCACTCGGCCAATAGAAAAAGCTTAGACAAGTGCAATCTAGTCTGGATGGCACGTGAGCATCATGGCTTGATTTGCTTGTTCGATCACGTGATTTTCTCTCACATCACTCTCTCTGCGCACAACCTTTGAGGACTTTTCAGCTGGTGTTCTCAACTGACGTGCAGTTCCGGTCAGTTAACCTAAGAGCGCGCATCCGGTCAGCTA